GCTCGCCGTCGACGAAAGCGAATGCGATGGTTCACTCTCAACAACCTGACTGTGGGACGGCGATGGCGGCTGCGGCCCCTCCAGAGGCAGCGGCGCAGCGGGCAATGGGCGGATCGCACGCGCCCTCTGCTCGCGCCGGTGCGCCAGCTCTGCGCGCCACTGCGCCGCATGCGCGGCAGAGAACAATCCGCGTGCACACACAGCAGAGGCGATAGCTGGAAACTGATCTGCAAACGCGTAAGTGGCGTCTCGCACCCACTGGGGTTGCAGGCGCCTGAGAAACGTTGACTGGCAAACCCTGGGCGGCTGACCCGACGCGGCAGCCAAGAGATTGGGCAGCGTTGCACGGTGTATCAAGAGCTCGTCACCATCGCCGCAACAGATCACGTGCGTCTGCACAGCGAAGCCGATCCGACGGCGTTCAACAGGGCTTAGTATGACTGGCGGCGGCGCCGCCGCCGCTGGGAGCATGTTGAGCCAAAATGGCTACGGAGGAGGATGGGGCCTGGAGCTGTTGGAGTAGGTGGCTGGTGGCTACGCGCGAAGAACCCACCCACCCACCGCTCGACTTCTAGGGGGGGGCGCTTTAAGGCTCTCAGCCTGAACTCCCGGGCTCACCGAGCCCGAGCGAAGTGACTCCCCTGACCCTGACCCCGACCCCGACCCCCGGACCCCCGCCCTCCAAGGGGGTCTGCCGGTCTGCCAGCAACGGCTCTCGTCAGCAACGGCTGCGGGCCTGCTCCTGAGCTCCTGCTGGGGCGCGGTTGTCCCGGGCCGGCGGCCCGTGGGCTCCAAGTAGGCCGAAATCTGGATTTGGGGAATACAAATCTTGTCTTGTGCCAAAAAAGGGGTCTGCCATATCGTTTGTGCAGCGTCTCCACTCTCCACCATTCTCCACCAACGCTCCGAATGTTTGTGGCTTCCACGAGATGTCTGAAATTTACGGTTTCTGTGTCTGCGACGAAGGGGTACGAGGCTCGTAGATCGAGTTTGTACGTTTGCGAGGCTGTCCCAGTCGAAGTGCGGTGTCCTTCGCTTCGCTCCAATGGGCCCCCAGGGCCCAGGCCCCGGGCCCCAGGGTCTAGGTAGGGCAGCAGCAGGGGGCCAAGGGGACAGGGGACGCGACAGGGCGAGAGGCTCGAGGCGGCGGCGCAGATGTGACGGAACACCCATGCTGGTCGGTCGGTTGTCAGCGGTCAGCGGCAATGTCCCAGAAAGCCTCTGCCCGTGCGAATTCTGCTTACCCCCCTGCAAGCAAGCCTCACGATAGCTCCAAATTCCGATCGCGGCGAGCGCGACCTGGTCCGCGAATCCGACCCAGATCTCCGACGTGCCAGCGCGAGACTCGGGCCCCGGGCCCCAGCCCTGGCCCGGGCTCGGGGATGAGGGGGGGCCCGGGGCAGGGGGGGAGGAGGAGGAGGAGGGGTAGGAGGAGTCCTCAGGAGGAAGAGAGGAGGAGCGCGGCCGCAAATTTGTTTGGATGCTGAGCTTTTCCAGAACAGTTGGTTAACTCAAGATCGCGATCGGGGGAGGCGGTGGAGGAGGAGGAGGCAGGAGGGGGAGGAGAAGGGAGAAGAGAGGAGGAATGTGGAAACGATGCGCAGGTGAAGCTCACGCGGGGCCACTGTGGCCATCGAGGCGGCCATCGCAAAACGACCCAGCGAACAGAATCAGAAAAGCGATCGATGGGGTCGAGAGCGCCAGTGGGCCAGGGCCTAGGGGCCCTAGGGCCGAAATCTCGACGTCGGCGAGTCGGATGTCTGGGAGAGGCAGCGGCGCCGCGTGCGCGTGCACCCTCACGCTCACGAAGTGCCCCAGATCCTCCACCTCCTCCGCCGCGAAGGCCTTGGACACAAAAAACTTCGAAGCCCCCTCGGCGCTGCTCTCCTCATCCGAATCAATCGAGCCTCTCAAGGGACCCGTCTCCAGCGCGGGCCGCTGCGTCGGCGGCGCGCGCGCGGGAGCGTGGTGCGCCGCCGCTGCCATCCCTGAAGAAATGGATTGACGGGCGGGCTCGGGGGTGAGCTGCAGGGGGGGGGGTGCCTGGAGAGGGGCACCGTCGACTTACGGCGCCCGCTCAACAGCGCGAGTTGCCGCTTAAAGGCCGATGCCATGACCTTCCCGGGCAGCCCCCCCTGCCGCCCACCCCCTGAGATCTGACGGGGCCGGCGGCCGAGCAATGGGGCGCCGAACGCTGCGGCGTGGTCTCGATCTGACCAGCTACGGATCGATCGTCGGTCGGGTGTCGTCTTGCGCAGCCGACGTTCGGCGTCGTCGTCGCCGCCGCCGCGGCCCTCGAGTCGGCGACGTCGGCGTGGGCATTGTCGCGACGTCGCCATCGACAACGTCGCCGCCGCCGCCGCCGTCGTCGGCGTCGATCGTCGACTCTCCCTCCTCCACCTGGCAGTGCCTGGCAGGTCCTAGCCCCTCGCCTCTCGACTTCGCGCGTGCGATGGAGGAGCGGGGGGGGGGCGGTGCAGGGTGGCGCCCCGCAGCACCCGCTGCAACTTGGAGGGGCCTAGAGGTCCTCAATCGGAGTGGGGCTTGGCACCTCCGAGTCGCACGCGGATTGTCTGTGGAGCGCACCCCCGCCAACCCCCCCCCTCCCATCGATCACCGCCCCTCCCGCGGGGCAGGGCAGGGGCAGGCCGACTCTGGACAAAGAGAGGGGCTGTGGATTTGGCCATGTTTTTAGGCGACCTCTGCATAGCAACAACTTGATTGAACAATGGAACGGCGACTGCTGCAAGGGGCGCCGCACCTTCAGGCTGAACGGGGAGGGGGTGGGGTCCGGGTGAGGGATGAGGTCTACCATCGCGAGGTTCAGGGACGGGGTGAGATGAGGAAGAGAAAGCGCAGTCGGTCGGACCGCCTGCCAAGCGGACGGGGGGCCGGGCGTGCACCGGCGCGGGCAAACCCCGATGCACCGCGCAGTGGTGGCCATTGGGCGAAGGAGGACGGCGCTATACACACTTACCGCAACCTCCCCTCCCCGCGAAAGGCGGGCGCCAACATTCCGAGAGTGCATGCCAAAAAAGGCTGCGCAGCCGACGCGCATGAAAACCCTAGTAAAGGAAATTCTGAGACGCAACCGGGTGCCTGCCAGCGCGCAGCTGAACGAGGGTCTCGCGGCCTCGGGCGTTGCGATACCCACGGCAAGGCTGGATCAGACCAGCGAAACGCACCTCACCGTAGCAGCCGCAGATGATACACACCATAACCGAACGGTGCCTGCGTAGCATATGGGTGTTGTGGGCGCGGTGGCGATTGGCACCCATGTTCCCATAGTCGGGCACGTCCGTCAATAATGGGTGAGCCCACGGAAGGTTCTGCGGCCACCCGAACTGGTTCGCCCACGCAGCACCAGCATGAGCGGCGACCGCCACGACCTGGCCAGGAGGAGCGGCAGCCTGAACAGGTGCGGCGTGTGCTGCTGGTCCTGGCGCCTGGCCCGCAACGTTCGCGAGCCGCGGGACATCCGCCACCGCGCCGCGCGCCTGGTAGGGCGCGTTCGAATGCTCCAAGACAGGCCGGGAGGCCGCCAGGCCCCCGACGGTCAAAGAGGGCCCCTACGACAGGCAAATGGGCCCCCAAGACAGCCCTAGAGGCCCCAACAGGCCCAAGGCCCCTATCATGATAGTCACGAGAGGGTCCCTCCTCGTCTTTGCGCTCCTCCTTCTCCTCCTTCTCCTCCTCTCCTCCTTCTACTGCTGCGCGGGCGCGGCGTCGGCGAGCGCCGCAGGCAGCTGGATAATTCGGCGGGAAGTCTGCCGCGAGACCAACTGGCTGCCCGTGCTCAAACGTCACTCGGTATGGCTGGGGCGAGCGGCTCCTGGCGGCCATGAGGCACGAGGTGCGAGGTGCGCGAATGCGAGGGCAGGGCCCTGTGCGGCGCCGAGCTGGCACAAAGCACAAAGTGCGCAATGGCTGCGAAGGTGGTGGCAAAGATTGAAACGCGATCACGATGCTGGAAAAGAGGGGGCCTGCTCCCCCGCCTCATCCAGGGCCTCTCAAGGCCTCGCCGTTGCATTCGGAGGCCTTCGGCCCTATCCGCCTGACCCCGCGATCCGCGTGAGAGGCGCGCCGAAACCCCCCAGGCTGACGCGGGGGGCGGGGAGGGGGGGGGGGGGAGCAGGAGAAGGAGAAGGATGAGGAGCAGGAAGACACGGCGGAGATGAAGCTTGGGGGAACTCCGCGCACCTCTCACACCATCGCGGGGTCAGGTGGATTTGACCGAAGGCCTCCGCGTGTAACAGCGAGGCCCTGAGAGGCCTTGGCCCGAAGAATTTCGGCACACCTCTCACGCGGATCGCTTGGATAAGCACCGCGTGCTGAACTCGTCAAGTAGCATATGATGCATGAACCAAAAAATGCGACGCCAAAGTGTGTGGCGTTGTACATATATATATATATATGTATATATATATATATATATGATATCAAATCCAGGGGTTGTGTTATTTACCGATCATGTGTTTGGGAGGAAATGTCACTAGTGACGTTGAGTTGCGGCGCGTAAAATGTAATACCTTCGTAGTTTCACGACCTACACTAATATCATGAAACTAAAAACTTATGATTTTTTGTTACACGAATTCTATAAATTCCATGGGTTGTAACATGTACTGGTCTTGTTTTCTGGTGTATTCTATATTTTATATATAAATATTGGACATGGAAATGAGACGCGCCACTATTTTTCAACCCTCAAAATAATAATGCGAAACTAAAAACACAATGTTTTTCATACGTTTGTTTTATATTTCCCAGGGTTTTTAATATGTTTCGTTCGTTAGTTTTCGGTGGAAACAGAAATTTACATTATAAATTTTCAGTGCAATTCGTGTCGTGAAGTATTTTGCCTGTATGTATTCTGTAGTACTCATTGTTTTCACTGCATATGAATTCATTATGAATGGTCGTCTGTTGGAAACACCCAAGGAAGCATTTGCATCCACTGTTTTGTGTCCACCACCACGAGTGAACATTCCCAGCCGCAGGGTTACCACAAGGCGAAGTTCCTGCTGGACGAGAAGCGCCCAGAGCTCTTTGTCAGCACTCCACCCTGCGGGCCCTGGTCGATAATGCAGAACGTCAACCAGCGCGACGACAGGCAGAGGCAGAACCTTCGCAGGAAGCGCCTCAAGAGCCAGCGGATCTTCGAGAACAACAAGAGGCTCATAGAGCACCAGGTGCTCAACCTGAACGGCTCTGCCCTCGCCGAGCAGCCACACAACAGTCGGTCGCGGCAAAAGACCTGCTGGAAGGATCTCCACAAGATACTCCCTTACGAGGTGATCGTGGACGGCTGCGCCTGCGGACTGAGAGCTCCCGATACAGGCGAGCTCATGAAGAAGCGCTGGAAGTTTCTCACTAACGACAAGAGGATCTGGGTGGCCCTACAGCCGCTACAATGCCGTGGAGGACACTACCACGAGGAGATTGAGAGCAGCCTGAGGACTGAGGCTTCGGGCTACTACCCCAAGATGCTGCGCCGCCGGATCCTCCGAGCTCTGACCAAGAGCCAGAACAAGAACTACTTCGAGGACGAGGTTGCGAAGTGCCTCTGCATGGCAGCTACCCAGCAGCCACCGACGGAGCCTACGCTTGTGGAGGATGAGCCGTCGATTCCACCTCAAAACGGCAAGGAGACTCACGACCTCACCAAAGAGACGATCAAGAAGATAGAGAGCTACATCAGGCTGGTGCACACCAACCTTGGACATCTACCCCGAGCTCATCTACTACGATACCTTCGCGACCGTGGTGCTCGCCCAGAGGTACTACGACTGGCCAGGACATTCAAGTGCGACATCTGCGACGCGCACCGACCACCGACAAAGCGGCCACCAGCCTCATCAGCAGAGCAGCCACAGAATGGTCACGAGGTTCTCTTCGACGCCTTCTCATGGATCCGTCGCAGCAAGAAGACGAACGTGATGGCGCTGGCGATCCTCGACGCCGGCTCAGACATCCTCTACGTGCGACTGATCGACGAGAAGGAGATCCCGGGTACGACTCGACAAGTTCGTGCCGGCGACCTTCGACATATTTTTGCGACAAAATGGTTTCCTTGGATGGGGCGCCCGAAGGTCATGCGCTACGATCCCGCTGGCAGCGCCATCTCCAACGAGTTCCACGAGTGGATCGAGAGCCAGGGAGTCTACTGTCTTCCTTGCGCGGCCGATGCCCACCGGCAGATCGGCAAGATTGAGCGCGCGATCGAAGCTTTCAAGGAGGTCCTAGAGGCTTTCGACGAGATGGTCTCAGCTGAAGTGCCTACCAGCGAGATGATTGGACTCCAGACAGCTGCCAGGAACGACCTGATCAGGATTGATGGATTCAGCCCACTGCAGCGCTATGCCGGACGGACCCCGACGGGGACCACGGTTAACTTGTCCGACGAACCGAACAACCTGCCCCTCATCAGCACCGAGCTGCAGGATGGCACCTTCAGCAGGGACGCCCAAGTTCGACGCCTGGCGCGGCTGGCTCACATCCAGACCGAGAACTCCGACCGAGTCAAACGGGCGGAAGCCGCGCGCTTCAGGTCCTTCAAAAGGTACGAGACGGGCGACCTGGTCTTCGTCTACAGGAGGCCCCCACCAGGAGCCTGGATCAAGAAGGGCCAACCTCGCTCCATGCCTGGGCGAGGCCGCTGGTACGGACCTGGACGAGTACTCTGCCACGAACCATCGAGCTCGGGACATCGACCTGGTCTACCTGGGACAGTGGTCAACATCACACTGGCTGGACGCCTCTATCGAGTTGCCCCAGAACAGCTTCGACCTGCTACGCCCTCCGAAGAGGCGATGGACTCTCTACGCTCGCGTCGCGAGCAGCCGGGGACATGGACCTTCGGCGACGCCCAGAAGCTGCTCGACCAGAACGAGGTGATCGATCTTTCGAACGAGCCCCCGCCTACTGGCGAGGACCTGGCCGCTGACGACGGCGAGTCTGTCAGCGCTCGCACCTTCAAGGGCAACGCGAGCGGGCCCTGGGCCATTCCTGAAGACGAGGAGCTACCTGTGCCACGAGGGGATCCTCGGAGTTTGGGCCCAGGAGGAGGAGGCGGCGGAGGTGGTGGAGCCATCGAGGCACCCCCAGGACTGGAAGAGCGACCTCTTCCTGGACCGCGACCTCCAAGGCGACTACGGAAGAAGGGCAATCCCTGGGCCGAGGCGGCCGAGGTCCAAGACCCTCTCATACAGCCAGTACAGCCAGAAGCACCGCCAGGCATTCCACAAGAGGAAGGCCACGAAGCTGGACACCAAGAGGAAGCCGAGCTACCTGCAGAAGAAGAAATCGTCATGGAGGCCCCTCCCGACGACGACCAAGCAGAGCGTCCCTCTCAGCAACCCATTGCGGTGGACACGGACGACGACCTCGACGAAACGACGGCGCCTGACATGAACGACAAGCGCCGGCTGCGGTCGCCTGGCTCGACCGAGCCACCTGCTAAGAAGCAGCGGATCAACGTCGCGACCCAGGAGGCCTTCCCCTACTACCTGCAGGAAGGCAACTTCTACGGGGACTACGCCTATAGCGTCCAGCAGTACGACGAGACGAAGGAGGATGACGAGCTCATCGTGCTGGACATCCCCGTCAGCAACGAGCACGCGCTCATGGCCTACATGGACAACCCTAGAAATTTCGTGGCATCACAGGCCCGGAAGGGCCGAGTGGAGGTTTCTTTCAAGACGGCGACGCCTGAGGAAAAGAAGCTGCTACTTGAGGCCCAGCAGAAGGAGTGCACCTCGGTCCTCAGCACGAAGGCTGTCAGGATCCTCAGCCGCAAGGGGATCGACCCGGCGCGCCTACTGCGCTGCCGTTTCGTGCTGACCTGGAAGAAGGACGAGCAGGGCAACGTGCTCCGAGGCAAGGCCAGATTGGTCGTGCTTGGCTTCAGCGACCCCGATCTACTACAACTACGGACAGAGTCACCAGTTGCCTCAAGACGTGCACGACAACTTCTACTGGCCATGGCAGCAAGACACAAGTGAAAGCTGGAGAAGGCAGACGCAGTGACAGCCTTCCTCCAGGGCGAGACTGACGAGGAGAAGAGGAAGATCTACGCCGACCCGCCGAAAGATGTTCGTCAGGCATTCGGCATGAAAGATGACGATGTACTACAGTTCCTCAAGCCTATGTATGGGTTTGTACATGCTCCTCGCAAGTGGTGGCTCCATTTCAAGGACAGGCTCAGAACGCTGAAGCTGGAGATCGTGCAGTGCGAACCTTGCGTCTGGGTCATCCGAGACGGCAACAAGATGGTTGGCATGGTCATCCTACACGTCGACGATATGATGATTGCCGGCGATCGCAACAACTCGGCCTTTCTCAAGAAGCGTCAGGAGATTCACCAAGCGTTCGAATGGACACCCTGGGAGAGCCGAGCGTTCGTGCAGTGTGGCATCAGCATTCGACAGAACGAGGATTATACCTGCAGCCTCGCACAGGACAGCTACAGCCTGAACGTGGAGCCCATCAAGATACGACGTGGGAGGAAACCCACAGAAGGAGTTTCAGACAAGGAGAGATCAGACCTACGAGGCCGACTTGGTACAGTCGGATGGCGAGCTCAGCAGTCGGCCCCGTGGCTCAGCGCAGAAGTCTCTCTACTTCAAGCGGAGATACCTACGGCCACGGTCTCAACCATCCAGAAGATCAACAAACTTATCCGCACCATGAATGACACCGCCGACGTAGTCATGCTCATCCCGGCCATTGAGCAGATTGCCGTGGATGGCTGCGGCGATGCAGCATGGGCCGCCCGTATCACTGGCGAGTCCCAAGGCGGAGAAATCGTTGTACTGGCCCCCCTGTCCTTCCTGAGTGGCTCGACAGAGACGGTTGCGCCTATCTCTTGGAGATCATGCAAGCTACCCAGAGTGGCCAGAAGCAGTACGAGTGCGGAGGTCCAGATGATGACGGAGACCTTGGACGAGATCAGTTACGTGCGACTGTTCATCTACGAGCTGGAGTGCGGTCAAGTGGACTACACCAACAAGCAGCACGTGAACGACGCCATCTCATCCTGCCCTGGCGTACTTGTCACAAACGGTAAGTCGGGCTACGACGCGATCGAGAAGAGTGAGTCAGCTGGTCTCGGACTACGTGACAAGCGGACGAGCATCGAGTGCTTGGGCATTCGACAGCAGAAGGAGCAGACGGCCCTCCAGATACGCTGGGTACACAGCGACGCCATGTTAGCCGACGGATTGACCAAGGATCGTGCCGCCAAGGTCTTGCTGGAGTTCTTCAGATCAGGCCAACGCTGGAGACTCGTGGACGACCCACTTCACCGCAGTGCCCGGAAGCGCAAGACCGAGGGCCTGGACAAGCTCGACCATGGCAAGCCGATCTCAGACGACGACGAGGCTGCTATGCTGGAGGCCCTGATCTACTACGCCCGCGACAACCCCGACGAGCAGGAGAGCCCTGCTGGAGATGCTGCCCTGTGGGGCATGATTAAGCCGCTCACGCGCTTTGTGCTTTCTGTGAATTCAGTTGCCAGAGGCAGGTCTCGATGCCGTTTCATCGATCTTTAGCTTTTGGGCATGCAATTCACAGCCCAGAGCCTGCCTCTTCAGAGCCTACTTACGACAGATGCCCCCTCGAGGCCTAACGTGATATATATATATATATATGTTTCAGGCTCCAAAGGGGCTTCGTGTATGTTAGCCAAGCGTTTCCCGGCGAATCGGGCCTCCCAAGACTCCAAGTTTCAGCAAGCCTTGCTTAGTAGGCCCTCCGTTTCCCTAGCAACAAGTTGCAACATATATTATGAACAGAACAGGTTCAACCGAAACCGTTCTGGCTCAAGACCTTGCAGCGTCACAGCGACGCTGGATTTCTGGCGTGCGTCCCAGAGACGCAGAGCAGCGAACTGCCCGCTAACAAACATATCCTGCTCCCTACCACAGTGTGATAAGCATCGCACAGGCACTGCCCTATCATAGACGACCAGTTTGAGACGAGCCCAACATCCCCTACAGTGATTTCTGTGATTTCCGCTCACTCCCCGAGCCTTTCCTGCCCCTGCTCCTGCTGCTCTCACCCTTCTTCCCGCTGCCTGTTTTGGTTCGGAACTTACTAGGGCCCTTGGCCTTAGAGCTACGCAGTTTGATTGCCGCGCGATCATTCGACAAAACGATATCAGCGATATCCGACCCTGCGGGTCTTACATATCACAATGGTAGCTTGGAGCGAGGTTCGCTGCCCCGGCCTTCGGGCCTTACATATTCCACGACGGCGTCTGCGACTCGTCGGCCCACGGAATCGACGGCCAGCGCCGTCCAGCTCTGCCGCCGCGCAGCGTTCATCTTCACATTCGTGATCAGCGCCGTCAGCGACAGCGCAGCGCCCAATACCTACATCCCCTGCCAGCTCTCTGCCTCGGCAAGCGCCGACATCCCGAACACTTTCTCCCACGCCAGTGACGTCAGCGACTTCACCGGAAGCATCGGCAAGCGCCGAGATCCCCTGCAGCCTATCTCCAACATCGGCAAGCGCCGAGATCACCTGCAGCCTATCTCCTACATCGGCAAGCGCCGACATCTTCAGCATCAGCGCCGTCAGCGACAGCGACAAGCCCAACGCCTACATCCCCTACCAGCTCATCGACACGGCAGGCGCCGACATCGATTACGGCATCGAGTTTGATTTCAATTTCATTTCGTATTCTGGTATTCCTTGCAGTTCATTCGTAGACAGAATGACGGAGTTCAATCACAACCAGTCAGTGATGCCAAGCTGGAATAGAGATCCAGCGAAGTGGCGAGATTACAAGCAAGAAGTTAAATTGTGGAAGCTCAGCGAGAACCTGGAAGTGACACAAAGCTTGGCATCGAAGTTAGTCTTGAGGTTGACGGGTGCCGCCAGATCGGCTGCCCTCAACATGACGGAGCAGGAACTCCACCCGCCGCCGGACGCCGACATTGAGGAGGCAAACGAGAAGAAGCGCGATCGGAACCAGAAGGGCATCGAGAATGTGCTGAAGCATCTCGAGACAAACCTAGGCCAGCAGAAGCCGGTACAGAAGGGAGAGACGCTAGAGAAGTGCTTCGAGTCGACTCAGCATCATCGCCGCCGTGGAGAACGCATGACGGACTGGCTTGTGCGATTCGAAGCGGGACTACAACAACTACGCGAGAACGGGGTTGACCTCACTACGCTTGACGACGTGGCCGGCTGGTTCCTGCTGCGCAAGGCTGGGCTCACGGCCGAGCGCCGTGAGCGCGTCGTAGGCAACTTGCCGGACGAGCATTACTCATTTCAGCGCATCAGGGGCCTGCTGGTGCGCATGTTCCCTGATATCCATACGTCGGAACGGCATGCCAGCTTGCCGTCGCGACCGTGGCCGCAGCGATCCAACAGTAGTTGGCAGCGCCCATCGCCAAGCCGAGCGCGTTCAGCCAACGTCGCCGACGAGCCAGAGGACGAGCGCGAGGACTCGGAGGACGGCGACGACAACGACGCGGAGGCAGACGTCCAGGACATCGTGCGCCAGGAGCTTGAGGCTTTCAGCGCCGAGCTGGAGCAGTCCAACTACGACCTCGGCGAGGTGTTCGACAGGGGCGACTCTGCCAAGGTGGAGGCCGCCGCGGCGGAGCTCGCCGCGATTCCCGAAGCCATGGCGACCATGCGGTCGGCCCGGGAGGCCATCAAGGGCCGCGGGAAGGCTTCGCCCAAGCGCCGACCCGCGGGCAAGCTACAGGGCCGCGTGGACCAGCGCAAGAAGAACTCCAAGTGCTGGGACTGCGGCGAGGTGGGGCACTGGACCGGTGACAAGGAGTGCCCGACACCAGGCGCTCGGAAGTTCGCCCCGAATGCCAGGCAGAAGGGCGGAGGACGAGGCGGCGGAGGTCGCTCGCGCCGCCAGGCCAACATCACCGAGCAGGTCCACGATCAGAACCACGTGGAGTTCGGCGACGAGGAGGTGATTCTTCATCCAGAAGGTCCGGTCACTCCGCCACCCGAGACCCTAGTCTCCGAGCGCGTGGTGCCCGACTTGCCCACCGTAAACGCCACCAACGCCGGCGAGAAGCCCAACGATGACGGCGCTGGCGTGATCGACACTGCCTGCCTCTTCTGCGTTGGCGGGCTCAGCTGGTACAAGCAGTACAAGGAGAAGCTCACCAAGATGGGTCTGGCCGACCAGATCCTGGAGGAGCCCGAGAACGAAGTCTACAGGTTCGGGAACGGCGGCGCGCTCCCGAGCAAGCTGCGCGTCACAGCCCCACTCGTGCTGTGCGGACGCGCTGGCCGCATAGTGTTCAGCGTTGTGGATAGCCCCACGCTCGGCCTGCTTATCGGCCGGGACTTCATTCAGCCGAGCAAGATCGACATCTCGCTCTGGAGGGGGCAGATCCGCATCGGGAACCATTCCCAGAAGCTCATCACGAGCAGCGCGGGACATCCCGCGATCGACCTCCACCCGGAGGACTGGCTCGCCATCAAGGGCGCGGGCCACGAGTTCGGACCGAAGGCTGTCGGTACCAAGGCCGTCGCCAAGAGGCCAGCCCCGAAGCCCACGGTCAACCTCACTACGAAGGCGAGCAATCTGCTCGAGAACATCACGAGGCTCATCCCCAAGAAGGAGCTCAACGTACCGAGGCGACTTCAACAGCGACGCGGTGGCAGCTCAAGGCTCATGGCCGCCGTGAGCTCTGCGTTGGTCTGCTGTTCGACGGCGGTCGCGCCGCCGACGTTTGCTCCAACAGCGATTTCGCCTACTACCTGCATCGCCGAGTCCCTCGACGACTGCGTGGCCTGCGGCACCAAGTCCTACACTGACTGTTGCCACCTCGGGTTCTGCTCCGAGCGTGTGTTTCGGCAACTCGGTCACGCTGGACATCAAGAACGACAACGAGCCGAAGGAGGTCAACATCGCGGAGGAAGAGCAGATGAAGGTACGTCAGCTCAAGAAGGGGACGAAGCTGCAGCTGACCGCCAGCAAGCGGTCGGCCATCGTCACCAACAAGAGCGGCGTCAAGCCGCACACGGTCAGCCAGGCGCTCAAGGCAGACCTGGCCAAGTCAACTACGAGCTCGAGCGAAATCTCGAGCAACGCCACCATCCTCTACGAGTGGTGCTGCAACCCCGACAGCAAGCTCAGTGCGAAGTGGACCGAGAGTGGAGGAGCTGCTGTACGTTGCGGTCTTCCTGGATACGACCTTTCTCGGAAGCCCATCGTCGAGAAGCACGAGGGCAAGATCCGGAAGAACCTGCGGAAGGGCCAGAACGCACGGGTCCACGCCGCATTTCCATGCACGCCCTGGACCGCGTTGCAGCGCATCATCCTGAAGATCGACCCCGGCAGGGCCGAGAAGCTGGAGAAGGATCGGAAGCATTCCGCGAGGATGATCGACCTTTTCCTGAAGTCAATGAGCCGCCTGCGGAAGGAGTTCGGCAGCCAGCTCGCGGTCTCCTTCGAGTGGCCGCGCTACTGCGACGGCTGGGACCAGAAGAAGAACTACACCGCGAAGAAGCTGAAGGACCAGCTCCCGCGCATCATCGATTTCGATGGCTGCGCCTACGGCCTGCAGACAAAGAGGGGGGACGCGATCAAGAAGCCGTGGAGGATCATCACCGACCACTACGGGATCGACAACTCGCTGCACAAGCTTTGCGACGGCCTACACAAGCACGTCGAGGCCCGCGGCAAGCTTGCCAAGGACAGCGATAACTACACCGACAAGCTCGTCGCCGCGCTGGTCAAGCAGCTTCGCAAGACGAACAAGACCGAGCACCGCGAGGCAAACCCCGCGGAACCAGCGAGACGGAGAGCCGCGAGAAGGACAGTGCCTGCCCCGGCAGCCCCTGCCGAGCCAGCCTTAACGGCAGCGGAGGAGCGGACGCTCAAGTCCGCCATATTGCAGCTCCACGTCAACACGGGACACCCTGCCAACGACGCGCTGGCCCGGGCTATCCGAGTGACGGGTGGGTCCCAAAGAGCGGTCGAGATGGCTCTCAACCTGTACTGCGAAGTCTGCGCCGCCCATCAGCGACCCCTACCACACCTACCTGGGATAATCAAGCTAGATAGGGGCTTCAACGATTCCATCGGAGTGGACTTGTTCACTCTTGCCGACTACGCCGGCAACCAGCTGGTTTTCCTCAATGTGGTCGACCTCGCTTCTGGATTTACCTTATGTGGTACAGTTTCTTCGAGACACCCTTCGGTTGTATTCGCGAGGCTTTTGCAGGTTTGGATTACACCGTTTGGGGCACCACAACGGGTACTTTTCGATGGAGGAGGCGAGTTTGAGAGGGAGTTCTCGAAGGAACTCGAGGACATGGGCTGCCGCCTTATGACTACTGCCGCGGCTACGCCGCAACAGAACGCCACCGTGGAAAGGCACGGCGGCATGTGGAAGGTCCACGCCAGGAAGCTGATCGATCAGTTCAGCATCAGGTTCGACCAGCCCGCGAACGCCCACAAGATCCAGTGGCTGCTCGCCGCTGTCTGCTGGGCTATGAACAGCTCAGTCAATGCCAGTGGATATTCGCCGGCACAGT